CATATTGAAATTTTTCACCTGGTAAAAGTAGTTATGGTTTTCTTTTAAATGAATGTCACCATCTTCAATTTTTAAGCATGGAAATGGGTTTGAATATTAGGTAATGTGCGCCAATAATGTCAAATTATGACAATTCGCAGTAAACGTCAACTTTTTATTTAGATTTTAATGTGCAAAAGCCTACCTACTTTGGATATTGATCGTAGAAAAAATATATTCAGAATAATGAAACATTATTATTAAATAACAAGTTTTTTTATTGTCAAATTTAATACGTAATATTATTTTTTAATTGCAAATATTTGAATGTTAAAATTATAGCGTTTAATTTTTTTATTCAATGACGAACTCGAGAGTGATAGAAAAAAATACTACCTACCTTTAATGCAGGAAGTCGATGTCAATTTATCTAAAAATAAAACTGATTAAAATGTACAATGAAACTCACTAGGACACTTGGCACAAATAAATCAATTTTCTATTAAAGAAGATAACACTTATTAAAAACAAACAGCACAATAAAACACTTCAGAAACGTGTGATGTAATTTTGAAAACTAAATACCCGTAAGCTTGTTTGTAAATTTATATACTCTTAACTCCTTCCCCCAGCCTTCATTAAGTATATTAAAAGTCGGGACGTCATATTGGCACAGATATACGGTAATGTGTTATTGACAATCAGGGAAATGTTTCTAGGTAATAACTACCTAAGATAAGATAAGATAAATGAATGTTAAATACCTACTCATAATATCTATTGTAGGGGTTTTGTACTTTAATAGGATAAATATTTATGCGGGCCTGGAAATTCCAGGAAATGACCGTCAAAATTACCCAAAAACATTAGGTTAGTACCAACATCAGATAACAGATAACTTCGGTATTTAACCAATTAATCACAATTAATATTCTTGAACATTCAAATGACAAAAACTTCCATCTTTAACCAATGAGAATATAGTTTTCATTCGATACTTCAAAATCACAATTTATTAATTAGGTAGAATAGTTTTAAAATATATTGCGAATTGCGACACGTCAAGCGTTTCACTCCGACTCAATGTGACGCAATTATTGTGGCAATATATTTTGAAACGACTCTATATTCGTGACTTGAAATTATAAACATCCCTCGTATTACTACTCGTATATAAACCAAATTATTTGTTTTAGGAAATATTTATATTTAATGTGAGGCAAGATATCGTTTTTGCATCTGCATACCTACCTACATTCTTTACTTTGGTCCAGGAAACAAAGTCAATTTTCGATAAAAATAAAATGTAATAGGTAGGTAATACTTTATGAAACAGTACAATAAAAGTATTGAAATAAAGTATGCTCATACTCCAAAATGAGTCCTAGAGTTAACATTTTTATAATATTATAAATGGCATATAAAACGATTGGACCGTTTTCACAATCGCGAAATATTTTTTTTTTATTTGGTAAAATCCCGGCAATTATTGAAAAATAGGTTTTATGTTCAGGACTATTATTATCCCCTAATAGCTAGTCGGTCGATATTTATAGTTACTTAAAGATTTCTGTAATAATTTGCACTAATTCAATCTCTAGTCGGTAGGTAACAGCACCTCCTTGATTGAATCTAAATTGACATAATTTTGTTCAGAAATTCCTAGGAGACGCTGTCCTTAACTAACTCACTCATGGCTACCCCAAGTTTTAATATTATAAATCCGCTTGAATATAAAAAACAACAGATATAGAAAATATTTTTTAAAAATCTAGTTATTTAAAAATGTAAAATGTCAACAAGATCGTTTATTGTCCGTTTATTATGGCCTTCTGTATTGTTACTTTGGCCATTTGAATCGCTACATCGGTGGTACAAGAGCGAATGTATTGCAGAACTATGGACGCTTTTCTACTGTCAGACAATCAACTACTATAGGCGAGTTCGGTCAGTCAGGGGCTAGAGCGGGACAAATTTTAGGGTGCTTTTAAATGACATTTAAGCGTGTTAAACTGTCACTAATCGGACTAAACCGAACGCTAAAAGAGTCGTTTGGAGTTAAAAGTGTTAAAGGAGTTAAAGGAACGTGGCAAACCGAACGCAATGAGTGAAACCTGTGTAAAACGGAATCGCACGGTCGAGCACCGATTTTCCGGCATATACAGGATTCCGCGTTACACAGGGTAGATAAAAAATTGCACATAGTAGATTTAAAAAAGTGATGATTTTATTAAAAAAAATCTAATATACGTACATTTAATATATAGTTGTTATTATTACTATGTACCTACATATTTTTATTTATTATTAGAAACAATATAAATTATTATTTATTCCACATTTCTATGAATGTAAGTTGTTTTTTATTCTTTTGTAATACGTAAGATGATTCCATGAATGTCCTTAATTCTAAAATCTTCTTTCTCATCGGTTCGCTCTCTATTCTTTGGGAAAAATCCTCTAACGCTGCAACACTCCTCAAAGCTTCAGAAAATTTTTTTATCCGATCGGATTCTTTAACTTCTGTTCCTGTAGATAAAAATAATAATTTAAGAACAGATCGTTTTGAAAAGCTAATGGGAAAATCTTTTTTTCTATCTGTTATTTTTGTGATGGTAACTGAAATCTTCCTATCTTATTTTTATTATGTATTTTAACTTTATTTCTACTTGGCCAAATGCCCAATTAGGATGGAAAGAAAAAATAAAAAGTTGTTTATTTTTTTAGAGAATTAGAAAAATCGCTTACCAATTCCAATCCCATCATTATCGTCTGCCACAGTAGTTTCCACGGCAGTTTTTTCTAACACCAGTTCTTCTATGGACTGAAATCCAGCATTTGTTGTAACGGCTTCATCTAATGTGATGTAATCATGAACATTACAACCGGGATTAATTTCAGTAATTAACTCTTCGACTTCTTTTGTACTTTCGTCAATTTCGTCAACATTTTCGATTAGGTCAACGTCTCCATCTTGCTTGATTCCACATGCCGCAAAACATTTTTTAACACAATCAGGTTTAATATTTTTTACTGAATAATTAATCCATCTGATAGCATCCAAAATTGATATTTTTTTAGCCAAATCTCCTGCTGATTGAGAGAATCTCATATTCGCAATAATTGACCGCAGCAGTTGTTTTCTGTAATGCATTTTGAAGTTTTGTATAACTCCATGATCGAGAGGCTGTGTTTGACTTGTGGTGTTTGGTGGTAGAAAACACAATTTTATATTGGATAGTATTATTTTGGGGTGACACGTTGCATTATCCAAAAATAGAAGGATGTGTCGATTTTCAAATTTCATTTTTTGATTTAAAATTTTTAGCCACTGTTCCATAAGAACTGATGTCATCCATGCTTTTTTATTTGCTCGCCAATAAACTGGTAGCTGAGGCACATTGGTATTGTTAAAACATCGCGGTCTGAGGGATTTTCCAATAACTAGAGGTTTTTCTATTTTTCCGTCAGCAAAGGCGCAAAACAAAACGGTTAACCTTTCTTTAGATTGTTTGCCTCCTTGACATTTTTCACCTTTAAAGCACATTGTCTTGTCCGGCAGCGCTCTATAAAAAAGGCCAGTTTCGTCACAATTAGCAATGTCTTTTAGGGTATATCCTTTAATTAAATCTGTAATGTGCGATGTCCATTCAGTCACAGATTCCATGTCGACGTCCTTAGCTTCACCGCAGATCTGATTAAATTTTATGTTATGTCGTGTTCGAAAACTTTCCAGCCATCCATTCGAAGCTTTAAAATCTACTTTTCCAAAATGGTTTGCAATTTCTCTTGCTTTTTCTTGAATAATTGTTCCAGATACAGGAAGATTGCGAGACCTTGCATCCATAAACCATTCCAAAACTGTTGAATTTACGTCGTCGTGATGTGATTCCTTTGGCTTTCTCTTAATATCGCCATTACCACCACGCATCCACTCTTCTTTAATTTTTTCCTTGTTTTTCAAAATTTCATACACTTGCGTTTTTCCGCACTTAAATTGAATAACCAATTGCTTTGGAGTAAGTTTTCTTTGGTCACTACATTTAATTAAGTCCATTTTAGATTTTAGCGATAATGTATTCGTTTTTCGGTTTGCCATTTTGAAATGTTTGCACTTTCACGGATAAACTCAAACTGCCGTACCTAAACAATACTGGTTTATTTGTGTATTTACTGCTTTTGTACCTAAATTTCTGTAATAATGGTTCTAAGTATTGATAATAGTTCGCCCTTATTATGGGGCTTTCCAAAATCATAAACTAATTATGTAAACATCTATAAATTCTTTTATACCTGCAAAACAATAACATAAGTAGGTTCCGGCTTAACAGATTAGGGAAATTCCGTGTTCGCGTTAGACAGGGTTCCGGCTTATAAGCAATTTTTACATTACAATATGTAGGTAATGTCCAAAGTTTCCGTCATACACAGGATTCCGTGTTACACAGGTTTCGGCTTACTCAGGTTTCACTGTATTATAAAATACATATTATTTTGTGCTATTATGGAATATTTTTCGGTTCCTTTGTGTCAACTTCGCGCGTTAGAGTTTAGAATATGTATCCCTCGTATCTACATACAATTGTTAAAATTATGTGAATGAATGCTGATTTTGTTTAGTCTCGGAAGTAATTTTGTAGTATTTAGGCGGATATGTTTATACCTACTAAACTACTGTTATCCCACAGATCTCTCAGTTTGTAACGTAAATTTTTCTCTTAACCCGTTGTCAACATTTCGTGTGTGGTTTTAGCTAGGAATTAAAAATTTAAATAGTAACTGGTCTACAAATAACTATTAAAAACAGGATAAATATTTTTAATTTATTAAATATATTTGTTTTATTATTTAAACATAATTTTCGCACACAACATAACATTCATAATTAATATTAACATTCCTAATTTAAAACTATTTTAAGTCTACTTTTATCTATAAGATTTAAAGACCTCATTACTTAAATTCTTCAGACCAAGGAAATATATTAACTTAAAAACATCTAGAAATCCATAAAATCTTACCTCTAAGCACCTGCGAGCAAACATCGCAGGGAGTTATTTTCTTGTACGTGTACTCCTGGAAGTTATGAGCATCCGGATCTCCTTTCAGCAACTCCCTTGTAGCCGCCGCTCCGTTTTTCCTAAACATAAATTAGATTAAATTAGATCAAACGAGATAAAGTACAATATACGAAAGTTATTATTTACTATAGCTACGTTTTTAAAATAACAGTACATCAATTAAACATTTTCAGATAACTATTCTCTGGTACTATTTTTATAAAACATTTTATTTAATTAATGTGTCAATTTTGTAAATGTAAAAATTAATATTTTTTCCTAATATTTGCTTGTATTTTTTTTTAATTTTTGGTGTGATAATACATACAAGATAAGAAGACACAGAATCATTTAGTTTATGTTTGAGAAACTAAACTATTCATGGCTGCTGAGATTCTGCATCTTCCAAGGCCCGATATATCCATTGTAACAATCATTTTAATTTCAGTCATTTTTCGAATTTTTCATTTTTAACGTTTACTATAACTGCTTTTTGTGCTCCTTCTAATTTGGAAGAGTAACGGGTAAACCATCAACATTTAATGGCTCGGGAAACATTTTATTACGCCATCGTATTCTTCAATTTGTTTTCACTCATTTTATCTCTCGCTTTGCAAGGAACAGAAAATATATCGACAAATAAAATTTAATTTTAGATGAAATTGGAATCGATATCAATAACATCAAAGGCCTTGTTCCCGGTTCTAGGCTATCCAGACAGGAATATCGAGGCGCAATAACCACTATGGCTATTTTCTTGCACGTTTACTTGTATTTTTCTTATTTTGTTACAGAAAGTCTATAAGGATTGATCCTAATATTCCATTCTTGGATATAGGTTATGTATATAGAGTAACCATCGTTGCATCTGAACAAAATTACATTATATTGGTCGATTAGTGATAGTACGTCCTGTATATTTCTAAATATCAAACTACTCGAGCAGAGAGTGGTAATAATATATTTTAAGTGAAATGTATTATGAGATATTTCAACAAGGGGCACAATAAAAAAATTCCTGAACTCCAAGGAGCGAAAATAATCAATATTTGAGCAGAATTTGAACCTACAACCTCTGCATTACCTCCAACATCATAACCAGCTAGACTAGACCACCAGGGCAATTAGCGAACCAGTGCAATAATTGTCTATTTGGAGTAATGATCCGACTAAAACACGATTTTCGGATGTATATTTCTTTTTAATTTTAGAACAATTCTCTAGTCACCTTTTTGGCATCGTCGTAGAAACAACATATCACGTGCATGAAACTATATCAGTATTTCGTCCACCTGTGTTAAGTGTGAGGCACGTGCCCTTCAGACAAACTGCTAAGAATACTGGCTCATCGTATCATATAATGTTTAAAATTTAGTTTCAAACCAAGACGTCATGAAGAAGTTAAGCTCAAGATGAGTCTTAAAGTTACATCCATTACCTATTTGTGAGCATCATTTGAAAATTCGTCAGCGTAAATAAGAAAAATTTATTGGCAGATTTGTTACTATTACTGAATCATAGGTTCAACTAAACTTTAGAGTAAAGAGTAGAAACATTATGATTTTCCTTAACTTTGAACATTCAAAGTAGTTTAATCAGATGGCAATGTATTGGCACTCAGTTTTTTGAGATTCTGACCGGATAATTTTAGTTGACTATCCTCAGAAGGTAACTGCTATCACTAGTCGTAAAAGTAAGATAATAGCAGTCAGAATGATCAATTAAATTTAAATATGCTGCACAGTTATAAGGGGCTAACAAACTCCAGAAGCTGTTCTGGATAGATAAGAACGGTAAGATATAACTGACACATACAAAAATATTACCACAACTCAAAAACTTTCAATTTAAGTTGTCAGAAATAGCTTAAGCTATTATCCTTTTGATCTGGAGTTGTATTTTTCTAGGTATGCGATGCTATATCATCTGTAGGATTTGTTCCATTGATGCTTATCCATTTACTACCTCTTTACTATTTTCAATTTTTTCTCTCCAAATTAGTTCCACCATTTCCAACCTATTCATTTTTTCTCTCTATTTTTCCTTTTAGATTCAGTTTTAGTAGTCAATATTTTTTATTTCAAATGGTGTGTTCAAAATGATTATATATGGCCGTGTGTCTTGATTTATTACAGATAATACTATTATTATTATTATTATTATTATTGACTGAAGGTAACTTTAGGAAACAAACATCTTTGAGACAGATTTACTTGTAAGTACCAAATATGTATTTAACTCCTTAAAGGCTTAATAGAATCCTTGATGTACCTATATAAATAGTTTTTTGTAAAGATTAACTACTTATAGAGGTAACTTCTAAATACTTAAATACAATCTAACTGGCTTTTTTCGAATGAATCCCTATGAGAATGAGTTAGATGTTCCCTCAATGTTTAATTTTATTACATGCCTTACTGACTGACTCTTCAGTCTTAGGACTTTACAGGAGAGTGTCATTTAGAGAAATTCACTATTTTAATTCCTCTAAAATACAATCCAGTATACAATAATAATTACCCTCTAATCTGTACTTATATACAGTCAGGTTGTATCTCTCTAGTCATTATCTCCCAGGATGTAATATGTTAAAGATACTGCTGCTAATAAAAAATTGAGATTTTTGTTTAAAGTAAGGCAATATTTCTTCTGATCTAATGTAAAGATGCTTTATAGAGCTCATAAGTCACTCTCGCACTTTGTCCAGCTTACAAACTTTAAAACATAAATGAGCATTTTAGAGAAACATGAAACATAAAGCTAAAGAATTAGGCTACTGGGACCAATACCGCAAGTCCTTAACAGAGAACAACAAGGTTATCAAAAAGGCCAAAGGAGGAAGTCTGTTAGAGTATAATAAATTTACCTGCAAGCACCAGACTTGAGAAGGTTTAAGGGTTAGAAGATGTATTTTAACTTCAAAATGCGCTTAATCAAATGAAAAAATAACAAATAAAAACTTATAACTAAAATTATTAAATAATTATAATTATTTAAGACTTCTATAAACAAAGTATTCTTTTGCTGATTACGTCTACGGTATTTTATTCTTCATTGTATATATACTAAAAATTGTGGTTTGAAATCTACAAATGATTAAATTCGCTTATATAAGTAGAACTGTAAGCACTTAGGTTTGATTGGTTCATCTTGTTACTACAATCAAAACTAGTCCAAAAACATTTTCTATTTTAAAAAATCTCAAAAACTGGTTGAATTACGGAAAACAAAAGTTTTTAATTTCAAATTTAAAAAAATTATACTAAATAGGTTTAAAATAAAATAAATTCAATATAAAATAGATGAAAAAGCTAGATAGACCAAAACTAGTCCAAAAATATTTTCTATTTCGAAAGACCTAAAAAACTGGTTGAATTAGAGAAAACAAGTTTTAAATTTAAGTTTAAGAAAATGACACTAAATAGGTTAAAAACAACAGAAATTTATTATAAAATAGATGCAAAAGCTAAATAGACCAAAATCTACAAAAGTTGTTACTTACTTAAACAAGTACCTAACACTAAGCAGTTTTAAATTAGTTTTGAGCCAACATGCTTACACAATTTATACCATTTTTAGAATGAAATTTAAAACTATAATTCCCCCTACAAAATTATGAAAAATTCACCACTACATTCCTACGTAGAAACAAACCAAAGAAAAATTGGAAAAGCTGAGAAGAAAAAAAGAAAAATTGAGTGCACTGGTCAGGGATTGAATCCTGAACCTTCTGTCTAGAGCCAGTTGACGTCTCTACCAATTGGACCACCGAAGCATATAGCTACGATAGTTAAATTTGTAGTTTTAAAGTGTTGCTGGTACAAAAACATTCTCCTCTTCTCCTAGTTGTCTCAATTTCTCTTATAACCACCTAAATAACATCGTATAGAAGGGCGTCAATCTCAGATTGTACTAGAATAAATTCTACGATCCTTCATTTGTTTAGGTTTTTAAGTTTGGGCTGCCGTAAATGTAAAATGACAAAGAAATAGAGAAACCCGGTTTGGATCCGAAAAATGAAATGCAATTTTGGAAAACTATGAAAATAGATAATCCATAGGAAATTATGACGAATATACCATCACATCTCCAAAGTGATACCAAAGAAAAATTAAAGCAACCTAAGAAATAAATTGGTAGAGACACTGACGGTTTTAGTCCAATGGTACCAGGTTCTATCCCTGAACAGTGTACTCATTTTTCTTCTTCTTTATTTCTCAGTTTTTTAAATTTGTCAATTTTTCTTTGATTTGTTTTCACCTTAGGGATGTGGTGGTGTATTTATATAATTTCTTAGGGGGAATTGGGTATTATATAGTTTTATATTTTTTCAAAAGTGCTTTTCTTTTTTTGAATCACAACATATTTTCTCACTTTTCTTTTAAGCAATGGTATTTGTATATTAGGAAACTAGATTTTTAAAATTTTTATATATAAATTAGGTACATATTTAGATGTTATTAACTGAAATATTGTCATTTAAGCGTAGCAAATTCCTTTCCCTATTGCTTCAATATCATTCAATTATATTTAAAAATTTAAACAAATCGACTTCTGTAGATTCTGTTTAATGGTGAATCCCAAACTATTGCGGTTCCCATCCATCTTGGTCAGTTGAAAAATGTTCCCATGACGTCTTTATTAGTTAAAACTTGTCTAACTTTGCTATTGTGGTCATGTATGTGTTTTCGCATTGAAGCCGAGAGGGAAATTCAATTTATGAAAATTGTACATTCTGCTATGCTTTAGAGTGGATGAAACCGCAACACTTTGGAAACCACAACAGCTGTTCCTTCCTGAGTGAAAGAGATAGAAGCAAAGAGGAAGGTGACTCTTAAAACTGATTTTAATAACATTAATTATACTACTACAGAAATTTAACACTAAAAAATCGTTTTAGTACAATAAAAAGCAATACGTACTCTGCTATATTGTTGGTGCACAGGGAATTCATCTAACAGGGGTGCATTTAATGAAATATGAACGTGAATTGTAAGTGTATGAAGGCGATACAAAGGTGATATATTTGTTGTTTATCAATGACCTATTCGCTTGGTTATAAATTAATTCAAATGATGTT